TAGAGTACGAGAGTGGGAGTGGGAAGGAAGGAATGGGAAAGAGATTGGTGAAAGACTGGTAATTGAAGAGGAACAGGAAAAAGTAGGCATCAGAAAGGGCTTCATAGTTTTGAAGATGGGTGACTGAAAAAATGGATAGCATTAACAGAGATAGGGAATAGAAGAGGTAAGATGACAGATTTGGCATAGTCAAAATGGAGCTGTAAATCACAGCTCACTTTTGCACACGTTGACAGGCAGATCCTAAAAGTTATATGGAAATTCAATGCAGATTAGCCAAATCAATCTTGAAAAGGAAGGACAAAATTGGAAAACTCACACATCCCAACTTTAAAACTTATTACAAAGCTACAGTAATCAAGACAGTATGTTGCTGGCATGAGGACAGACATATAAATCAATGGAACAGAGTTCAGAGTATAGAAAAAAATACATTTACAGTCAATTGATTTTACATAAAGGAGCTAAGCCCATTCAGTGGGACAAAAGACAGTCTTTTCAACGGATAATGTTGGAACAACTGGATGTAAACATGCAAAAGAAAAAAGTTGGACTCTTACCTCACACCATGTACAAAAATTACCTCAAAATAGATCAGAGACCTAAATGTAAAAGCTAAAACTATAAAACTCTTAGAAGAAAACACAGATGTAACTTTTCATGACCTTCAAATAAGCAATGGTCTCTCAGATATGACCTCAGAAACATAAGCAACAAAAGAAAAAATAATTAAATTGGATTTTGTCAAAATTAAAAACTTTTGTGCTCCAAAGGACACTATTGAGAAAGTGTAAAGATAGGCCACAGAATGGGAGTAAATATTTGCAAATCTTATATCTGATAAGGGACTTCATTTACAATATATTAAGAACTCCTACAATTCAATATTAGAAAGACAGCCCAGTTTAAAAATGGGCCAAAGACTGAAATAGATATTGCTGCTCTAAAGAAGATATACAAATGTCTAATAAGCACATGAAAAGATATTCAACTTCAGTAATCAGGAAAATGCAAATCAAAACCACAGTGAGGTACCACTTCACACCTACTAGGATGGCTATAATTAATTCAAAATAGAACAAAACAAAAAATACAAGTGTTGGCAAGGATATGGAGAAATTGGAACCCTCTTGCATTGCTGGTGGGAATGTAAAATGGTGTAGCAGCTGTTAAAAATAGTCTAGCAGTTCCTGAAAAGGTTAACTTTTCTTCTCCTGGGAATTCTGGAGGAATGGGCACAGTGTGTTTTCTCCTTTGACCCTCCACCCCTACTCAGTCACCTAGCTCTGTAAATTTGTTCCAAACTTACCTTACCTTGCTTCCTGTTGCCCGCATACCTACAATGCTTCAATACCCTTTTTGCCAACCCCCTCTGCCTCCAGACTTTCTCACTTTGGCCTTACATGCAAGCAAAAAAGCAAAGTTCCTAAGCATAATTTTTTAGCAACATCAGTTACTTACCTCACACCTATCCAGTGGCTCCCATTTGACTATCAAATCAAATGAAAACTTCCAGTCTTGAGTTCAAGAATGTCTACCATTCAGCCTTCTGTAAGCTGTCTGTCCTTACTTCAGTTGCTTTCAAATTTGCACCATGTACAAAATACCCTACCTTTTTCAAAGCTTCTATTGTAATTACTCTTTTCTCTACACATCCAGAGCCCTCTTTATCAGAACTCCTTGAAAACTCATTTTCCCTAACTGACTATAATTAAAACAACTATTCCAGAAACACCTGCCTGCCTTTATCCTTTCCTTTCTCCTAATTACCAAACGCTCATAAATGTTATATGTATATGCTTTTCTTGTGGGTCACTCTACATTAACGCTAGCAATGCTGCCTTGGAAATATCTCCAAAATCCATCTATTCCTCCCCATCCTTGCTGTCATTGGCCTATATTGTTGCAAAAGCCCTGATCAACCTTTAGAGTAGGTATATTTCACTAGGACTCTAATATCTTTAAAATGGAAATCTAATCACACCCCAGCACACACACACACTCTCTCTCTCTCTCTCTCTCTCTCTCTCTCTCTCTCTCTCTCTCTCTCACACACACACACACACACACACACACACACACACACACACACACACACGTCTGAAACATTTCATACCCTTTAAGCAAAAGTCCAAACTCATTCGCCTGCCTGGCATTTGTAGCCCACATTTGCCTCTCTAGCCTCATCCCACCGCTCCCTGTTTGAAGCCCTCTTGCTCCTACATATGCACTTCCCTCTCTGAACCTTGTCCCCCACCAGTGATGCCTACAGCCATCCCTGCCTTCAACTCCCCTACCTTCACCCCACATGCCTATGAACTGCTATACTTTTTTTAAAAACTTTTAATACAAAATAATCGCAGATTTGTACGAAGTTCCAGAGAAATGTACAGGGAAGTCCCATGCCTCCTTCTTCCAGCCTGCTCCAATGTTGACATCTTGTACAATTACAGTACAGCATCAAAATCAAAAAATAGATACTGGTGCAATCCATAGGGCTTATTCAGATTTCACCAGTTATATATGCACTCATGTGGGGGGGAGAGAAGAGTGAGAGAGAACAGCTCTATGCAGTTTTATCACACCTGTAGTCTTTCATAAAAACCACAATCAAGATACAGAATTGTACCACCATCAAAAGGCTCCCTTGTGCTACCCCTTTATAGCTACACCCATCCCTAACCCTTGGGAACCACTAATCCATTCTCTATCTCTATAGTTACTATTTCACAAATGTAATATAAATGGAATCATGCAACATATATTCTTTTCAGATTGGCCTTATTTATTAGCATAATTCCCTTGAGAGCCACCCAAATTTTTTTGCATGTATCAATAGTTTGTTCCTTTTTATTGATGGGCAATATTCCCATGGCATGGATGTACCTGTGAACTACATCTCAGTTGTTTCCAGTTTTTGGTTTATTACAAATAAAGCTGCCATAAACATTCATGTACAAGTTCCTACATGAAAATAAGTCTTAATTTCTGTGGAATAAATTGCCCATGAATGCAATTGCTAGGTCATATGGTAAGTCCCTTTTTATTAATAGTTTTGACAGGAACTGCCAAACTATTCTCCAGAGTGGCCATACCATTTTACATTCCCACCAGCAAGATATGTGAGTGATCTAGTTTCTCCATATCCTCACCAGGGATTGTTGTTACCATTGTTTTCATTTTAGCCATCGTGAGAGTTGGCTCATTATAGTTCTTCTCATCTTTTAGGACCTAAGTCAAGAGTTACCTCTGTAGAGCCTTTTCTAACATCTTCTGGAAAAGTTGATTACTCCCTCCTCTGTGCCATCTCTGATTCTTCATTTATCATTGTACTTTAATTATTTATCGACACAGTCTGTGTCTTTCCCTCTATTCTGGGCTACATGAAGATAGGAGCTGTGCCATAGTCATCTTTATTCCCGCAGCATTTGGTACAGTTACATGCTGAGTTCACAGTGGGCATTCAGTAAATGCGTGGTAAGTGAGGGAAAGAATGAATGAAGAGAATATTAGTCTTGCTTGCCTCCCTCTCCTCTCCCTTACTAGAAACCTTTTTAGAACACACGTCACACCTTCTTCTGTATCTCCCAGCAGCAGCTTATGGGGTGCTCTGTACATGTAGATGTTCAATAAATGTTGTCTAAACTATTCAGGTGGCTTATCTTCCCTCTGCACCCAGGAGATAAGCACATGAAAAATAGAATAGACCCAAGTATCCTTGTATTAAGGACCATATGTCATAATTTTTATAATATTCTTATAATCTCTATGATCACTCAATATTTGTGTAGATGAGGAATCAAAACAAAACAGTCCTTTGAGTCAAAGAATGCCTCTGTGGCTGAGCACTATGGAATAGTTTCAATACCCTGGTTACATATGAATTTGGGAGGACAGCATTTTATGTTCCTGAATTCCTTTTGCAGTTTCAGAAGGATCTGGGATATTTCTGGTTTTGCTGCACTGGTGTAATTTGACATGTTGATTATGAGGGGGTCATTAACCTCAACATTTTTGATCACTTTTTGACTCTGTATTTTCTCAACTCTGAAGTATGTTAATTTGCACTTGTTTATATGTCTCTGTAAGAGGTACTCAGGCCCTTGAGGACTGGTATATGTTTTGTCTGGAAAGTAGATTGTAAGCCCCTTGAGAGTAGGGACCTTATAACTCCTAGGAATGCACTCTGGACATTGTCAATGTTCAATTAATGATAATATTGGAATCCTGACTAAGGTCATCTGTCACATTGACATCTTCCTTTTCATCTATAAGGTTTCTAACTATCAAAAAAAGCAGTTAGGTTGATTGAATAGCGTTGAATGATTCTACCGAAAATTATGCTTATTGTTACCCAGTATAATTTGTTCTTTAGGGTGTTTTCAGATTTATAACTATAGATCAGTTGTTACAGTTCCCTTCCTTATAATACCCTGGGTATATATGCACCAGGGAGGACTGTATTTCATAACCCTCTAGTCCTTTTGCATAATAAAATGTAAGCTGATAAAATCTATGCTTTCAAAGCATGTACTCCTCACCCCAGCCCCCACTGATAACCAGGTGTTAAACTCCAAGTATGGTCACAATCTTAAGTTATCAAAAAGAATCTTTAATAACTATTCAATGCATATGTCTTATTTTCACAGATTTTAAAATGGAGTGAATGTGTGTGCTATGTCCTATGGCTGTTGAAGTTAAATTAACATGAATATTTCAAGGAATTCTGAGTTTTAAAGCAGAAGGGCAAATTTGTTCATTGGTGAGGGTGGAGGTAGGGGGAATTTTTTTGTAAGTCAGGTTTATTAAAGTATCATTTATATATAGTCTGATTCACCCATTTTAGATAGAAAATTTGATGAGTTTGACAGGTTATGATTTTTTTCTTTAATTATGTCCTGATTCAACTATACCTCCAACTCACTCCACCACCCCCACTACTCCTAGACAAAATTGACCTATCTTTTTCTGATATTTTGTATCTTCTCTCCTTTTTACAGTGTACTAAAGGAGGTATACCAAGCCTTTAATCCCAAAGCAGTGGTCTTACAGCTGGGAGCTGATACAATAGCTGGAGATCCTATGTGCTCCTTTAACATGACTCCTGTGGGAATTGGCAAGTGTCTTAAATACATCCTTCAGTGGCAATTGGCAACACTCATTTTGGGAGGAGGTGAGTACAAAGGAAGGTTACCAAGAGCATTTGTTGACCTTCCTCCACATTTTGTCCATTGGCACTGAACTTAGAACACTTGGCTTTCTCAGATTGGATAATACCAACCTGCCTGTCATCCAGAAGCCTGAGTCAATGAAATCTGCCACCTCCACAGTTCAACATAAGGAAGTACTCTGACACACTTCTCCTTAGCTTGGCATGTGCATTGACTCCTTGGCCTTCTGAAGTCTAAGTTTCAATTCCTGGAGCAAAGGTCCTTTGGTTAAAGGTTACATCAGATCTTAAGAATAGAGGATGTTAATCCCAATAGACTTTGATCTATCTTCTCTCAGTGTAGTCTTTGATTCTCAGTTCTAATAATCATCTTTGGGAAACATACTACTAAAATTCTAACTCAACTGACATATAAATAACAAACACATGAATTAATTAAATACCTAGGCTGAATTCAAGAATGACTCTCCCCTCAAAAAGCATGGATTTGTTATGGATTTGAAGCAAAATTGAGAGATCCAAAGAATCTCTTGGATATTCTCGCCTTTAGTGTGTACTGATAATTGTATTACTTAACCAACAGAAAGCTGGTTTTGTTCAATAGAAGCATTTGTACATTTGAGAAAGGAACTTTTCACAATGACCTTTGAAGATGCCCTGCTTAGACTCTTCTGTCTAGCTACCAGGAACAATCTTTATTTCATTGGATGAACGGATTTGTGTATTAAAATAACATGGTCACGCAGATTGAGCTTAAAATGCATACGTTATAGAAGAGCTAATAGTTGGTTGTTTTGTCAACCTGTTGGAAAAATCAAATTAGGGGAAATCATAGGGAAGCCTTATGTAAATAAGTGAGCCTTCAACACAAATGCACAAGCCTGGTCTTTTGGCAGCCTCAAACCCTAGAGGGATCAAAATTAAAGGTGCTTATAAGAGACAACCTCTTAAGAAAAACTGGCAAGAAATATATTAACTTTAAGTCAAGAAAAAGATAAAATTGAAAAGCACTGCATGACATATTACTTTCCTTGATGGCACTAAGAATGGTGATTATGATACAGGTACAGCTAGGGGGAAAGAAAATACCTTTTTACAACATATATCTTTTGTTTGAGGCTACAACCTTTACTTAAAGAGCCTGTTAGCATTTTCTAAAGCTTTTTTTGCTTTCTCAGCCCAAAGTTTTGGCTTTTGAATATGTAATTCTTCTTATATATTATATGTATCCCTGAAAATCCTCGTGCATTAATCAAACTTCTGCAAATCAAGTCATATTATATGTACACTAGAGACAGCTCATACTTAAGCAAAACCTATAATGATTCTTTTTGAAATTAAATAATCATGCCAAATAAGTCTATCTTGTAAATTCAAGTTTTTCCATGTCAGGAATATTTAATACCTATACAATTTAACTGAAATTCTCAACTACTATTAACACATAGACAATTAGTAGAGATGGCCACACAATGGACCCCACTGAAGGCTGAAAGACATACTTTAAAAGCCCCAACCTCCCTGGCCTTCCAAGTAGTAGAAACACTTAAGAAAAGGGTGATCATATGTCCCAGTTTATACATGTTATCCCAGTGCAATGATTAATAGTGTCCTCTTTTACTTTTGAAAGTATACCATTTTGGATGATAATTTGTATGGTCACCCTACCTAAAATAGACCAGATTCTATTTCCCTTAGGCTGCACTGAGGTTAGGAAATCATTCCATTTTACCCTTACACTGTTGGAATTTAGCTAAAGGCCACTGTTGTAGTGCTTGCATGGCAGAGCACATCTATTCAGCACAAAAATATGCTGATTATTAGCCAATATAATATGACTGCTGGGTGACTGTGACAGGACTGACGAGATGGGTCAGAGTGTCAATCAACGGTCCTTTTCCTCATCTCACTTTCTTTGATCTCTGCCACCAGGCCTATGTTTTGTGGCGAAAAGGAATGCTGATATTAAAAGAAGGAAGTCTGTTTCTGTCAGAATTTTCCTTTTGTCTTTCCTGGATGCTTTTAGGGCTAGATCTGCCAATTGCTTTAAAATACAAATCACATCCAGCAGTCATTTTATAGAATTTTTGCAAAATTCATCACAGAACTCTTTCCATTGGTTAGGTCACATCAAGAGATCTGGCTTCCGGGAATCCCAGTCTTGCCAATGTCTCTTGTTGGAATTTGAGGACCTTGGATTCCTCGGGTGCATATTTGGTGGAAGATGAGAGTCTCTTTAATCTTTGTAGAACTTGTACTTCCCAGTTCTACACTGTGTATGATCTGATTGTCCAACAAAATTTACCTATTAGGTAGTTTAAAAATATCATAAAGGGGCTGGGTACGGTAGCTTACACCTGTAATCCCAGCACTTTGGGAGGCCAAGGCAGGAGGATTGCTTGAGGCCAGGAGTTCGAGTCCAGCTTGGGCAATATAGTGAGATCCTGTCTTTATAAACAAGAAAATCATAAATTGATATTTAGGTGAAATTCTGCAAGTTGGAGTTGTCTTTTTAGCCTTTTTATTAAAACATTTTTCTCTCCTTCCTTACCCCCTTTCCCTCTCCTGCTGTTTTGTGACTATTCTTTCCTAACTTCACAATTCTTGATGGAGACAGGAGGCTATAACCTTGCCAACACAGCTCGATGCTGGACATATTTGACCGGGGTCATCCTAGGGAAAACACTATCCTCTGAGATCCCAGATCATGAGGTAAGTAAGGCTCTGACAAGTCCTCTCTTCTTTAAGGGGAAGAGCTGAGTCATTCTACCTAATCAAAATCACGTCCTCACCACTCAATACTGTTTTGTTGAGAGACACTTCAATAACAATAACACACTGTCTTGGCAGAATAGTGGACTCTTGTTCCAAAATATCCAAGACCTTCTGCCTTTTTTTTTTCACAAGAGATCTCAAAGGCCAACCAACTTTAATTTCTCAATTAATTACAGAGACTGTGGGAAGGAGTCACCTGTTCACACAAAGAACTCTTTGGAATATGTGCATATTTTCATCCCCTCAAAAAGGAAGGGGCTATTTTTAAAATGTGTAAGCTGGGTTCTCATCTATTTTTTAGAAGTCCCATAGGTGATATGTAGCACATGTTCTTTGGTGTTAGTCCTGGTCTTTCAGTTTTCTTTTGACTAATATAAAATTTCAGAAACACATAATCACTACAGATACAGGTCTGGTGTTTTTCCAGCAATTCGTGGCACACAGAGGTTGTGACGGGACCATCCAAAATGTGAAACGTGCCATTCGAGCCCTTGCCATTTTCTTTAGTCATAAGTGATGGGCTTTACATTTTCCAAAGCAAAGATGTCTGTTCTGGTTTTCCCAAAACAAGTAAATAGAAAGCTGTCTGGGACTGTTAAGTGTGCTGATAATCCTTAATCCAAAGGCATACCCCTTTTATTCCCACCCACCCCAATAGGAAGCATGTTATCACAGATCAGGATGTATAGCTGCAGACCTTAGACTGGGTAACTTAAAATAACAGACCAGTACATGCAACTCCACCTTCTCAAGCTATTTCCCAAAGATTAGGGATGCTGCTTTGGTTATAATGTTATGATTTGTACCAGATGCAGAAGCTATATACTTGGGAGCATTATGCTTTTTAAAGTTGCTATTATTTTTAAAAAATTAGAACAACTAAAACTAATTTTCTACCAATTTTCTTCTAACATTGGGTAAGGTATAATGTGTATCTTAGAAAAACCATTCAATATGTCTAGAATACAAATGGAAGGCACGCTATAATTTGAGACAATTTGCTGGTGTCAGGGTTAATAGAAGTCTCTTTTCTTGACTTGGCTTACCTTTATTCAGTATTTTGGAAGCTTAATGAAATATAAAGGTAAGTGCTATGAACAAATGTAATCACTGTTATTGCTGTGGGAATATCTCAGATTGCATTGTAATTTAAAGCTCTGGGACTTTTAAAAACTGATCAAGTTATGTCAGAAAGGAGTTTTAAGCTGTAGAAGCATGAATTGAGAATGAATGTTCTGTTCCTAAGAAGCAAAAGCAAATCCAAAGATTCATCTGTGTAAAAGATTGATAAAATTTTAATAAAGGTAAATATTCCTCTGGTACCTGGAGAAGCTATGTGCCTGAATGGATGTGAGCTTGTCCTCATACATGGAGAGGTGTTCTGTCTTTATATTGAAATACTCTGCAAGATTAAATGAGATACAATGTCTGTCAAGTACCTAACACATAGTTCCTGGCACCTAATAGGCACTTTTGAAATGCAAGTTCTCTCCTTCCACTTTGCAGGCTCCTGACGTCTTATACCCAGACATTTATGACTATGTCATTCATAAATTTGTCCAAACCCTTTGTGAATCCCTTCTGTCATATCCTTCTGGTTTAAGAGATGTGAGTCATCCAAGAAGGAACAAAGAAGAAAATTGAAATGACAGTCTTCCAGGTACAATAAGATAACATTTTAATGAAAATTGCCAAAAATAGACTACACAGTATGAAGGCATATATAAGTTTTGTGTCACAATACACAGTTGCACACAAATATCCCTGTGGTACTCTGAAATCAGATCAACAAATGGTAGATCAAAAATATTTGCTGAGCACCCATTGTGTGCCAGGCACTATGCGAGGTATCTTGGAAGATGCAAAGTAAAACCTCATCCTCTGCCTCAAGCAGCTGGGAGGAGAGGGATGGTGCAAGTGCTAGGGAGATATGCAAATGCACGGAGAGTTATAACACAGAGAAGAAAAAGAGGTAGTAGGAAGAGGAAGAACCATGAGGTAGTAGGAACAGTGATTATGGAGGTGTGCATCAAATAGAAAGGGGGATACAAAGGAGTACACAAAATACCCTGCCCTCCAGGAGCTGAAAATATAATTAAGAAATCTAATAGATGAAAAGGTATATTGCAGCAGCCAGCTGCAGCCTGGCTGACTTCTTCACTCTCTGCTCTCTGTCTTGGGCTTTTGTTCTTCCATCTCCTAGGATAATAATCCTCTTCCTTCTCCAAATGCCCTTTCCCCGGTTCTCTACTGTTTTTCTAGGTCCAGCTTCAAGGCCTGTGCCTTTCAAAAACCCTTACCTAAATATACCAAGCCCCTCTGAGCTCTTCCTTCTGTTCACTGTTAAGTGAATGAACAGATATTCATTGGTCTCCTACTACTTGCTAGGCCCTATCTCCGGATTCAGAGATACAAAGATTAACAAGATGAACCCAGTGCCCTCAAAAATCTCACCATCTAGCCAGGTGCAGTGGCACGCATCTGTAGTCCTAGCTACTTGGGAGAGTGAGGTGGGAGGATCACTTGACCCCAGGAGTTCAAGTTCAGCTTGGACAACATAGTAAAACTCCATCTTAAAAAAAAATCTCACCATCTAATAAAAATGACAGCACAATGTATTCAAATCCAGGACAGATGAGGAACATAGGGGAAATATTTCAACAAGACTTTGAGAGAGAGTAGGAAGGCTTGAATGGAAATTGGGGCCAGATTATGAAGAGCCCTAAATGCTATACTAAAGAGCTTACACATTGTTTCTATAAAAACAGGTGAGCGTTGGTTTTTATTTATTTTCATATTTTTATTTCAGCGTATTATGTGGGTACAAATGTTTAGGTTACATATATTGCCTCCGCCCCCTCGGAGTCAGAGCTTCAACTGTGTCTATCCCCCGACGGTGCGCACTGCACCCATTAGGTGTGTACGTAACCATCCCCTCCCCGCCAACCTGCCCAACACCTGATGAATATTATTACTATATGAGCACTTAAGTGTTGGTCAGTTAAAACCAACCTTATGGTGAGTACATGTGGTACTTGTTTTTCCATTCTTGTGATACTTCACTTAGTAAAATGGGCTCCAGCTGTATCCAGGGTACTACAAGAGGCACTAGATCACCATTGTTTTTTGTAGCTGAGTAGAACTCCATGGTATACATATACCACATTTTATTAATACACTCATGTATTGATGGGCACTTGGGTTGTTTCCACATCTTTGCAATTGTGAATTGTGCTGCTATAAACATTCAATTGCAGGTGTCTTTTTTATAGAATATCTTTTGTTCTTTTGGATAGATGCCCAGTAATGGGATTGCTGGATCAAATGGTGGTTCTACTGGTATCTCTTTGAGGTATCTCCATATTGCTTTCCACAGAAGTTGTACTAGTTTGCAGTCCCACCAGCAGTGTAGGAGAGTGTCCCTATCTCTCCCACATCCACGCCAACATTTATCGTTTTGGGACTTTCTGATAAAGGCCATTCTCACTGGAGATAAGTGATATCTCATTGTAGTTTTGATTTGCATTTTCCTGATGATTAGAGATGTTGAGCATTTTTTCACGTGTTTGTTGGCCATTAGTCTGTCTTCTTTTGAAAAGTTTCTGTTAATGTCCTTTGCCCACTTTTTGATAGGGTTGTTTGATTTTTTCTTGCTGATTTTCCTGAGTTCTATATAGATTCTAGTTATCAGCCCTTTATCAGATGTGTAACGTGAATTTTTTCTCTCATTTTGTAGGTTGTCTATTTGCTCTTGTGATAGTTTCCTTGGCTGTGCAGAAAGAAGCTTTTGAATTTGATCAGGTCCCATTTATTTATTTTTCTTGTTGCTGTGATTGCCTTTGAGGTCTTTTTCATAAATTCTTTGCCTAGGCCAATGTCAAGAAGAGTTTTTCCCAATATTTTCTTCCGGAATTATTATAGTTTCATGCTTTAGGTTTAGTCTGTTATCCACCATGAGTTGATTTTTGTGAGAGGTGAAAGGTGTGGATCCTGTTTCAGTCTTCTACATGCAGCTATCCAATTTTCCCAGCACCATTTTACCATTTTTTGAATAAAGATTCTTTTCCCCAGTGTATATTTCGGTCTGCTTTGTCAAAGATTAGATGGCTATATTTGAGGATGGTTTTATATCTGGGTTCTCAGTTCTGTTCCATTGTCTATGTCTCTGTTCCTGTGCCAGTAACATGCTGTTTTAGTTGCTATAGGCTTGTATAGCTTGAAGTCTGGTAAATTGATGCCTCCCAATTTTTAATTTTTGCTTAAGTTTGCTTTTGCTATTCAGGGTCTTCTCTGGTTCCGTACAAAGTGCAGAATTATTTTTTCTACATCTGCAAGAAATGATGCTGGTATTTTAATAGGGATTGAATTGAATCTGTAGATCTCTTTGGGTAGTATAGACATTTTAACAATGTTGATTCTGCCGACCCACAAGCATGGTATGGTTTTCTACCTGTTTACGTCCTCTGCTATTTCCTTCCTCAGTGTTTCATTGTTCTCCCTGTAGAGGTCTTTTACCTCCTCAGTTAAATATATTCCTAGGTATTTTGCTTTCTTTGTTGCTATTGTGAAGGGTATTGACTCTTTGATTTGGTTCTCTGTTTGACTGTTGTTGAAGTTTAGGAATGCTATTGATTTCTGTACATTGAATTTGTAACCTGAGACTTTCCTGAATTTGTTTATCAATTCCAGTAGTCTCATGGTAGAATCTTTGGGGAGCTTTGGTTTTTAGAAAGCTCACTTGATAGAGCATGAAAGATAGATTGCAAAGGGGAGAGACTTGAGATAGGCAGACTTGTTAAGAGGTTAAAGTATACTCCTAAAACACTTATAGTCTGTATTATTCATTTGGTCATCTGTGTTTTGGTTGTCTGCATTCCTCTTCAGTGTTTAGCAGAGTGTTAAGCACCGGTCTACTTGGTGTTCATTCGTAAGTGAACAACTGAATAAATGAGTGTTGTTGTTTTTTTTTTTTTAATTTTTACTATCTATTATTCTTTACTTGTTTTTTTCAGACTTGAGCCAGTTTATAGAATAAATGAGAATTTAAATAAGTGCCTCAACATTCACATTGGGAAATTCCTATTTTTAAGGTGGAAGAATTTGAAGCATAATATAGCTTTTCTCTGGGAATGTAATTTAACCCCAGAAGCAATTTCCTATTATTTTGCAAGAAGTACCGAGGTATCCCAGCTATAGGAAATAGGTGTATCCAAGAGAAAACAGTAGATTCCCAATGCAGGGAAGGGAATTGGGAAGGCAAAAGTCCAGCACAAATATTAGAAGTGATTATGGGTGAGACTTCAAGCATAGCTCTCATGAGATATAAAACCAGTGATGCCATATGGCCAGTGATCAGGGAGTTAGTCTCAGCCCAGGCATTGGGGAGCCAGGCTGGCCAGTCAAGCGTGTAATAAGGAGGCAGTCCCGGCTGGAAGAAGAGTTTTGAGCCCAGCTTGAAAAGCTGAGAGAAATTGAGCCTGCATGTATGATTGGCCCAGGTATCTTTACCATATAGAAAGCCTAAAGGTGACATGGTTCCATAAAAAGCACAGGACATGGCTAATTTAGCACAATCACCTGGGCTATTATATACAAGAATGTTTTGTAGTCCGGTGATACTATTTAGATCCCATGATCTAAGATAGAATAAGGCACACACACACACATATGTATCATCAGGTACGTTTACTAACAAAAAATATTTGTAATACACTACTTAATCAGACTGCTTTTCATAGACTGATTAGATAAACTATATTTCAATCATATTAGGGAATATTGATAGCCATTAAAAAGAATTAAGTAAATTTATATAAAGCATATGTTACTGATACAAAACAGTTTTTCAGTGTAACCTATAGATTGCACTCAATCTATAGGCTGATTTCAAGAGAAATAACATCTTAACAATATTTAATCATTCAAGCCATGAATTTACTATATCTTTCCATTGACTTGGGTCTTCTTTAATTCCAAATTTTAATTTATACTCTTCAGTGAACATTTCTTGCACAAATTTTGTTAAATTTATCCCTTAATACTGTATGTATGTACAATACATCATGATTTTGATGTTATTGTAAATGATATTTTAAAATTTCAATTTCTAATTGTTTGTTGCCAGAATATTGAAATGCAATTGACTTTTTATATTGATTTTGAGTAATGTAAACTTGCTAAACTCACTTATTAGCTCTAGTAGATTTTTTTGTAGTTTTCTTAGCGTGATCCATGTATACAAACATGTCATCTGTGAATAAAGAGAGTTTTGCTTCTTCCTGTACTATCTTCATGCCTTTTGTTTCTTTTTCTTACCTTATTGCACTGCTTGGGGCCTCCAGTGCAATGCCAAGTAGAAGTGGTGGGTAAATATATTTGTCTTGTTCCCAGTCATAGAGGGAAAGTACTTAATCTTTCACTATGAAGTAGGATGTTAGCTGTAGCTTTTTTCAAAAATGTCCATTATTAGATTGAGGAAGCTCCTTTCTATTCCTAATTTACTGAGAGTTTTTTTCTCACAAATTAGTATTTAATTTTATCAAATGCTTTTTCTTCATCTATTGAAAGTATCATATGGTATCCTCCTTTATTCTGTTGGTATAGTAAATTATACTGATTTTTTTGTGTGTTAAACCTACTTTGCATAAACCCTACTTGGTCATGGTGTATTATACTTTTTATATATTGCTGGATTCGACTTGCTGAAATCTGGTGAAGGCTTTTTGTGTCTTTTGTATCTATGTGGATGAGGGATATTTGCCTATTGTTTTCTCTCCCTTTTTTTTTTTTTTTTGGTAATGTCTTTGTCTAGTTTTGATATCATGGCAATGCTGATCTTACAAAATTACTTGGGAAGTATCACCTCTTCTCTTATTTTCTGAAAGAATTTATGTAGAATTGATACTGTGTCTTCCTAAAATGTTTGATAGAATTCACCAATGAGCCTGGAGTTTTCTTCATGGGAAGGTTTTTAATTATGAATTTAATTTGTTTAATAGTTATATGGCTATTCAGATTTTTACTTCTTATTTTCATGTTGGTAATTTGTCTTTCAAGCAATTTATGCATTTACTGATAATATTCTATCATTATTGCCTTAATTGTCTATAGAATCTATAGCGATATCTCCTCTTTCATTCCTGATATCAGTGATTTCTTCCTTTTTACTTGATCCTTTTAACTAGTGGTTTATCAATTTTACTGAGATGTAATTTTTTCAAAGTACTGGCTTTTAGTTTCATTGACTTTATTTTTCTCTTTTCTATTTCATTATTTTTTTTTTTTGAGACAGAGTCTCACTGTATTGTCCTGGCTAGAGTGTTGAGCTAGTCAGCCTAGCTCACAGCAACCTCACACTCCTGGGCTCAAGCGATTCTCCTGCCTCAGCCTCCCGAGTAGCTGGGACTACAGGCATGCGCCACTGTCCCTGGCTAATTTTTTCTATATATTTTTAGTTGGCCAATTAATTTACTTCTATTTATAGTAGAGACGGGGTCTCGCTCTTGCTCAGGCTGGTTTTGAACTCCTGACCTTGAGCGATCCTTCTACCTCAGCCTCCCAGAGTGCTAGGATTACAGGTATTAGCCACCGTGCCCAGCCTATTTCATTATTTTTGTTTATAACTTTATTATTCCTTCCTGCTTCCTTTGTATTGTTTTTAGTTCTTTTTCTAGTTTCATAGATAGAAAATTAGTTCACTGATTTTTAAACCTTTCTTCTTTTCTAATATCAGCATTTTAAGCTATAAATTTCTATCTAAGCACTGTTTTAGGTGCATCCCACAAATTTTTATATGTTGCTTTCATTTTCATTGGTTTAAAATATTTTCTTCTTTGATGGCTTATTTGGAAGT